GTCAGTAATACCTCCGAGCTCGTATGCTCTCCTCATTAGAGCCTCTTGTGCATCCGTGCTAGGCTGCGACAGTGTAGGGGTCTTTCCGTCCGCGTTGTGGGATGTGGCTCTCACGACAGCACGAATTGGGTTGCCGTCTCTCAGGGCATCCGCCAATGGCTTGATGAAAATCGCCGTAACCGCCTCTCCACGGGCGTACCCATTCGCGTCAGCAGAGAAGGTCTTGCACGAGCCGTCACTGGATAGAACCCCCTGTTCCTGCATCGCCATCGACATTCCTGGTGCGAGGATCAGATTGACGCCGCCCACCAGAGCGGATCCACAGTCGCCTCTACTAATAGCAGCACACGCCTCGTTCAAAGCCACCAGGGCGGAAGAACAAGCTGTACGAATTGTCATGCTATTATAAGTGTCAGCACAGAGCTGGTACTTGGAACAACTCGCCAACAGAAGATCATACCTTGGCCCTTGCAGGTCAAACTCGTACGAGAGCCGATTCGCAACAACAAAATCTCCTGAACCGGAAATGCGATGTATACCCCATGGCTGGGTCTCCTTCCCAAACATCTCCAGCCAGTCTTCTCCAAAATTACCAATATACGTGCCGATAGTCTTGCCTCTCCAATTTGTCACGCCGGCATCTTCAAAAGCCTCGCGTGCGACTTCCAACATGAGCCGTTGCTGGGGGTCGGCCCGCTCTACCTCGGTGCGCGTCATGGTGAAGAACGACGTATCCAACGCTCCGACGTCGACGCTCTCATCGAGGAAATATCCATACTCGGTCGAGACGGTCCCTGGTTGCTTCGTATCCGAGTAGTATGAGTCGATGTTATAGCGCGATTGAGGGACGCGACATCGAGCATCTTTCTTGGCGAGGAGGAAATCCCAAAGTTCGTCGGGCGTCATCAAGCCCCCAGGGAGACGACATGCCATACCACAGATGGCGATGGGCACTTGAGCACTGGGAAGGACCCCATGGGCCGAAGTACCATTTGTGCCGTTCGTGTGCACACCGTTGGTGGGATGCCCGTTGAGAGTAGCCCCATTGATCATATTCGAAGCCATTGTTACCCCCTGGCCATTGGTGCCGTTTCTTTCGTCCATAGTCATTGATGTGAATTAGAAGTAAAAGTTGCTTGCTTCGCAGTCACCTGGCGGACTCTCTTTGCATTTGAGTTTAAAATGACCGTTAACATGATTGCTGTCGACAACGTTGCATGCATTTCCCATGTGCTGGGTTCCGCAACGGCCATGCGGCCCCCCGTCCGCTCGCAGGCCGGAACCCGTGTCGGCGACGACCCGCAGCACCTCGGCCGGATACGCCGATAGGGGACCAGATGATCCTTAAAATGGGTTTATGAATTAACTCAGCATATTGACTCGATGTATTCTTGAGCTACGTTTCTTTTTCTTTTAGGTGACACAACGCTGGCCGCTGCACCACTGTCGAAGAGTATACCATCCGCAACCTCACCACCATGGCAGCTAACGGCAAGATCGTCTCGGAGATGGTCTCCTGGATCAAGAGCCAGAAACTAATCGCTCCCCGCATGAAAGATGCCCCCACATTCTACCGAAATCTCGAGGAGGCTTTAGATGTTCGACGGTCGACCCAATCTCTGATGACCCGAGGACAAAGCACATGGAAAACAGGAGACGCGATAGACTTCTGCTCCAACGATCTTCTCTCTCTCGGACTCACAGGTGAACTGCGACGGGAGTTCCTGGCCGAGTTGGCAAGACACCCCGATTTCTCGCTGCATTCCGGGGGTTCTCGCGTGATGGGCGGCAACTACGACTATATCGAGGAGGTGGAGCAGGAAATCGCCGACTTCCTCGGGGCAGAGACGGCTCTCATGTTTAACTCGGGCTCCAACGGAAATATTGCCATCTACACGGCTATCCCACGGCCGGGAGATGCCATTGTGTACGATGAACTGGTTCACTTCAGCACGCACACAGGCATGGCCGCCTCGTTGGCCACAACCAAGGTCGCCTTCCGCCACAATGACCTTGACGCCTTTCGAGAGGCCATGTCCTCCACCATGGACTCTCATCCCATGCTTCAGGACGGTTCACGCTCGATCCTCGTGTCTGTAGAGTCGGTGTACAGCATGGATGGAGACGTGTGCCCTCTGGTGGAGATGCTCGAGATTGCTCGCGAGATCTGTCCCAAGGGCAACTTTGCCTTCATTGCGGACGAAGCTCACGCCACTGGAATTGTGGGTCCCAGAGGTGTCGGTCTCGTCAAGTTGCTGGGTCTGGAAAATGAGGTTGCAATTCGACTGAATACCTGCGGCAAGGCCTTGGCCTGCACTGGATGTAAGATCAATTGACCTGGCAGTAACTCCTCGCTCAAGCGGTATCACTGACGCAATTGTTTGAAGCTGTGGTTCTTGGAAACGCCACGGTCCGAAACATGATGTTGAACTATGCTGGGTCCCTGGTGAATACCACAGCCCCATCCTTCCCGTCGGTTGCAGTCATTCGCGCAGCCTATAACCTGATGAGAACTGGTGCCACGCAGAAGGTATGCAATGATTGGGTGAAACGACTGAAGAGTTCATAATAACAAAAGAAAATTTAGGCTCAGGACAACATACAACATCTCGTCAAATACTTCTTCAAATCCATCACCTCCAGCGACATCTGGGACAAAGCCACCGATATGGGTATCTTGTCAATTCCCGTGGCCGAGGACTATGAGTCGCTGGACTTTGTGACGCACATTGTACCGATCTGGACCCGGCAAAAGTACAACTGGTGGCTCTTTTTTCACCTGCAACTGGCGAAAATCGCCGTCGTTCCCATTGACTATCCCCAGGTTCCCAAAGGCAAGTCTCGCGTCAGGGTCATGATCCATGCTGGAAATACGGAGAAAGAGGTGGATTATTTGGTCGCCACGCTTTGCGACTTTGCGAATGAGATGATCGATATCGAGGAGGGTGGCGAAAAGGGCAAGATACCAAAAGCCGCGCAGGAGATTTATGCGTTGATGGCGGCGAATGCGTGAAGCTGAACGTGTGTCAGCATATATATACTGCAGAAGAGGGCTCCCCTTAGACGTGTTGCCGTAGGAATAGTTTGGATTATCATACTACGAGATGGCTATAGTACCCAAGCGAAGCCTTTCAACCCTTCCCATCAGACCTACAAGTGGTCGCAATTTTTTCCAGTAATGCCTTCTCAATTAGGAAACAATAGGACCCTATTAATACACAGTTGCAGTTTCATGGGATGCCGGATTCTTGCTATGCAGTGCAGGCTACTACACTGGTTTCATTTCATTTCTCAATTAAGGACTTGGAGCTAAAAATATATCTATAAGTTGTGTCCAACATCATTCGCAAACTGAAGCCTTCACTTCTCAGCCTGGCTACCGACCTAGAGGGCAGCCAAAGCATCATACTGCTTCCGAGTCACGGACAGCACAGACCCATGTCTCAACTGTCCCAGGTTAAAGCCTGAAACAGGCGTAAACGTTCCCGAAGTCACATCTGTCGACGCCCATGGTGATAAACCAGTGACACTGCCCACCTTGTCGCAGACCAGATACGCCTTGCCGGGTTGCACGTTGTCCCAGAAGGGATACGGGCCCTCGAAGCCGGTGCTGTCCTTGATGGTGCCTGAAGGGGTGACCCAGTTACCGAACAGGCCGTTGCGGCTGACTTCGACCACAGGGCCGGAGGCCTTGCCGCTGACATAGAAGCGGACGAAGGTGTTGTCGTCAACGCGGAGAATGCTGAGATCGATGATCGAGCTCGTCTTGTGGTCAATGTAGGTCTTCGGCTTGGTGAAGGTCTTGAAGTCGCTGGTGTGAGCGTAGCGGATGATCTCTGTGGTGGTGGGATTGCCTGTGTGGTTGACATCGTTTGCTGCGTACTGTAGACTGTCAGTCTGCTGATCAGGCTGTACTTCCGGGGGATACCTACGAATTTGGACGCCCAGTGCACCAGGTATTTTCCTGTAGACTGTCAGTCATGCTCAACTGAGGAGATGTACACTGCGACATACCAGCTTTCGAGTCCCAGATTGCATCCGGCGCCCAGACCATGCCGGCTGTCGCATCCTCGACCGTCACAAGTCGCTCGCCAGTCCAATGGATCAGATCCGTGCTCTCCCAGACGAAGATGGCCCGGGATCCAGTCCGAGTTGCTTTGTCCCAGGTAGTCTAGCACACTCAGTATCTCGGAAAGTTTACAGGTAGAGAGGGAGACAAACAGTGTCAATATCCAGATCCGTTCCGATCAGGTAGTACTTTCCCTTGTCACGGCCGACGCCTTCGATGATCGAGACATCCCGGACGGCCTTTGTGCCCAGGGTCGGGGAGACGATGGGCTTCCCGCCGTTGATCGTGGTGAAGTCGAGTGGATTACTATTGTTACTCAAGGCGAGGTAGACGCTCTCGTCCTCCGTCTTCCAGTAGAAATCGAGGTAGCCCACTTTGGTCGAATCGGCTTTCTGGAGATCGAGAGGGAGAGGTTGGGGAAGGGCCATGGTAGGGGTGAGGAGAGCAAGGATGCCCGCACAGATCGTCGTCAGGCTCTTCATCTTGTTTTCTGTGTGGCTTTTGCAATCGAAATCAGTGTGGTCGTACCTCTGCCTTTATATGTTCGTTTATGTCCTACAGTATCATTTTCCCCGGTGGTTCATCTACGTATCCACACTAAGACGCAAACTAACGATGCCCAGACTTGTCAACAGAATATGCAGCAATCGGATAATTCATTGGAGACAGGGTATTTTGCCAAGCCGAGCAACAAACAACAGAGTAAGACAAACAATATCCGATTTCCCCGAATCTGCAACCATCCCCGCTAAAGACAAGCTCCGGCGGAGGATCGTCGCAATATACCCCGCAGTAATGGAACAGATTAAGCAGACAACGCGGATGATTCAACCGAGTCCCGGGGAATCATCGGATTAAGACCGTTTGAAGGAATTGGCGATACGCCAATTACGCCACATATGTCATTCTGGGTATCTGCACCGGTCGCCCCTTACTCCATCACAGGCAGTTCCGCCATGTGCAACTTTGCGCTTCCATACGGGACGAGGTCAATTTCGACCGGCTCACTTTGGCACGCCCGGTCACCTTTGCGGGGCGGATTGGGCGCATATCCATCCTTCAGCTCCCATTGGATCTCGCAGAATCTTGCCGTGATGGGTGTCGGTGCTCCTAAAGTCCAGAGAGGATTGGACAGAGCTCCGTCAAAACCATTATATCGCAGGGAAGATGGGTCGATCGCATAGGCCCAGGAACCGGTCGGATGAAGCTCATAATCTCGGATATTGTCCGGAAGATTGGAGTAACCCTGGGCAGGCTGGGAGGTTTGTGTGTACTGCACCGGGATCGCGTAGAGCAGGTTGCCGTAGTAGATGGCTACGGTATCGTTGGCGCGGCTTTGAACGTGAACTTCTGCAGCCAGTGTGACGACCACTTCGGATGAGCTTTGACTTAAGGGAACTATGAGCATGCCGGTCCGTGTATCAGGTGTCCCTCCCGCCAGAGGGGATCCATTGACCGAGACAGTGTGGGAAGCGGACCATGTTGGGATCCGTACGGAAAAGTCGAATGGAGCGTCCGCGTCGATGGTATACACCAGCCGCTGGCTAAACGGGTACTCGGTCTCGCAGTTGATTCTCACCTGCGTCCCTGACTTTGTGGAAGTCTGGACACTCATTGGACCAAGAAGGGCGTGTGCGATGCCGTTCTGACCATGCCTTACAAAGGCCGCAGACACAAACTTGGGATATCCCTGCGGATGATTTACAGTGCAGCAAGGGTAATTCGGCTCGAGTCCAAATGTTTGCCCCATCTCGTCCACGTTCTGAAAAGGAGAGTGGTCCAGTCTATGCGAGATGGGCTGATTGGTCTGCGCGACGTACTGATGCGCCGACCAGTCGGGAAGAGTCATGACCGGCAACGCATTGAATGCGGCGAGCTCACACTGATCCGCCAATGAATTGTCCCCCAGAGCATGGTACAGGTAGCTCAGCGAAAACATTGTCTCGACCACAGTACAAAGCTCCACTCCACTTGCGGGACTCAGCCCGGAGATGCGCTCGTCGCCGATGATCGACCCTGAAACAGTTCCGTGGTATCTGGAAGTCCAGTTGACGGCTCGCAGCGCGCTTGTAGCTAGTCCCTCGTCATGCGTCAGGCGTTTAAAAACTGCTCCGCTCTTCAAGCCCATAGCAACATTGACCCCATGCTCGAACGGATCGTTGGCGTCGGTGATGTCCGGAGAGATGGTGCCCAGATCGTCCTTGAGGTAGACTCCATCCGTATACCAGTGCTCCCAGTCCAGGGCCTTTTCATGAAACATTCGCATGCAGTCCAGGATCGTCTGCCCTTGGGCCCTAGGGTCTCGCTCATACAGCCACTGCAGACTAAGTACCATATCCGCCGCGCGAGCGCGCCCCCACCGATCATCCACGTCGTCCTCAGTCTGCTGCACCAGACCCCGGTAATTATCGGATAGCATCGAGTGCATCAGATCAACAAACCTGTGCATCGCATCCAGAATCCGTGTCTCGAGCTCTGTCCCCGCCTCCGCTTCTGCCAACTGGCTCAGTCCCAGCATCATGGGCGATCTGCCCCAGAAGTTCCGCGCGGACGGGCTTGCCTCAGGACCTAGCCATCCGTCATCGTGCTGATGCGATAAGACATAGTCGGCGACATTTAGGACCTGGTCCTTAAGACGCTGGTCGTCGGTCAGATATGCCAAGGGAACCAGGCCGTTGAACCAGTACGGGAGGCCCTCATTCAAATCATTGTAGTCTGTATGACCACCGAGCCAAAGACTGTCTGTAACGATGGGGTAGAAGTCGTGCTCGTGGCCTGGAAGTCCGTCGGCCATGAGATGCAATTGATCTGATAGCCATCCGCGCGGCTTGATGGAGCCGAGAGGGAGTGGCTCGAATGTATGTGGGAGAACTGTCGCGTTGGCTAACCAGCAGAATAAACAGGAGATTGTCACTTACGCTCATCGTCGGCATGCGCGTCGCGTCGATTGGGAGTCGCGAACGCTAGCTGACTGACAGCAAGCGTGGAGAGCAGAAATATCTGTCGCTCTACGGTAAGGAGATGCATTTCGAATGCTCCCCTTTGATGAGGCGTTTCTTGGGTATTGGTCGAGAACTGAATTGAATAAAAGTAATGAGCCATAACTACAGAGCCTCGGCATTGGAATGTGGCAGATGTCCGCGTCGAGAAATGCACGACCAATGTAGGCGTATCTTAATGACACCCTGAGAGCATTACAGTATTGTTGACGCCTAACATACTTGTGAATCAACCCTCCCTAGATATTCTTCCGTAGAAGAGCTGACCTACACAGTGGCTCTGTATAGAGCGCGAGTGATGGAATGAGATAGTCTGTACTCTTAATCAACTCACTCACTTAGCTATTCAAAGACAAACTATCCTAATTTTTGTGTTCCTGCTAGGAAAATACAATAATAAATAAATGCTCTTAGGAAGGTAAAGCATCGATCAATATGGTCAGTCTTGGGAGTATCCTGAGTGCGGGGAATCAAGATAAACAATAAATCCCCCACGCTAAGATGATGCTACTACAGTCCTCAAGGTGATGTCTATTATACATATCAGATTATCAATCAATGATAGGGTAACAATGGGATTGTTAATGCCCAGAAATGCAGGGAGCCGATGTAACCCCGACAACCACAGCAATGCAACCCTTGCTTGTATTTAGTCCGTGCAGGGCAGCCATTTGCTCAGCTCAGAGACAGTAAATATGTATCTAAATATCATCCTATGTTTCTGTTTAGCGACTGCTGCATTGCAGACACTCCCCCCAGTGTATCAAACAGGCTTAGGGCCAACATCGGGGTTTGATTTTCGCTCAGTGAAGAAGATCATCTATATCAAGGCCGATTTCGCCTCTCATCGGGATGAAAACGGAGTGACGCTGATTCCTCCATCGGCGCTGGAATTCGCAACGACATTTCTGCATGATCTGCAGGAAGTGACCGCCAGCGAGTGGACACTCCGCCAGGTCCATGAATTCAGCGCAAAGCAAGGGATCTTTCTTGACAGACTTGGCATAGACTGCAACTTGACCTACGAAAATGGCATGCCAACAGAAGAAGGATATGAAGTGGAGATTCACCCGCAGCGGGTCATTGTCCGGGGATCTGGGGCGAGGGGGATGTGGTGGGGAACGCGAACACTGCTGCAGAAGTTGATCATCGCTGACGGGAAACCGCTTCCGGGTGGCCGCATTGTGGACGCACCCTCGGTTCCAACGCGAGGATACATGCTCGATGCAGGCCGAAAGTGGTACTCGCCTGCCTTTCTTAAGGATCTGTGCACGTACGCCTCGTTCTTCAAGATGTCCGAGTTCCACTATCACACCAGTGACAACTACCCTCTAAATCGGGGCCATAATGAGACATGGAGCAAGGTGTATGCCCAGTTTTCGCTGCACCCTGAGAATCCTGACCTCCATGGAATCGTGCAGAGGCCGAACGAGACGCTATCACGAGCGGACTATGAAGAGCTGGAGCATCACTGTGCGCAGCGGGGAGTGACAGTTATTCCTGAGATTGAAGCGCCAGGCCATTGCCTATTTCTGACCAAATGGAAGCCAGAACTGGCGCTGAATAAGAAGGATCTGCTGAATCTTTCTCATCCTGAGGCGGTGCCGCTCGTCAAGTCCGTCTGGGCTGAATTCCTCCCGTGGTTTCACACGAAGGAAGTACATATCGGGGCGGACGAGTATGACTCGACATTGGCAGATGATTATATCAATTTTGTCAATGAGATGACACAATTCATCCAGAACGAGTCAAGAAAAAGGATTCGCATATGGGGCACTTATGAGCCATCGGATACGCTTTCTATATCCAAAGATGTGATCATTCAACACTGGCAATACGGGCAGTCGGATCCTGTTAGTCTAGCAAATGATGGGTACTCAATCATCAATTCGGAGGATCGCTGGGCGTACATGTCCTTGAAAAACGACCATATGCCCATATTCCCCGCCCCGTATCCATATTTGTTCAACAACTCCCGTGTTTTGAATTTCGGCGACATCGACGGATGGCAGTGGACCCCGGCGCTCTTCAACCCATTCAACGTCACGGAGCAACCGGACAAAAAGGCAGTCCAGGGAGCAATTCTAGCAGCATGGAATGACAACGGGCCTGACGCGACAACACAGCTTGAGGCCTTCTACGCCATGCGGAACGGGATCCCGATTGTCGCATCTCGAGCCTGGACGGGCGATCGAGGTCCACAACTAGATGAATCTAGCTTGTCTTTGTCTGCGAACTTGCTTACTGCCCGCGCAGTTGGCCAGAACCTTGACAGGAGACTTACTGGCCGTACCAAACCTGGGAAGAGTTCGCTTTTGAGTTGGATGTCCGACAAGCAATCGGGGGAAAGAGTCCACCTCGGGTATGGCAGCAAGGGAATGAATTATACATTGCAGCTTGACGTCGCGGGGCCATTCGTGCTGTCCTCCGAGGACTGCTCCCTGAGTTTATCCGCAGCCGGTACTTTGGCCTTTACATCCGACGGGTGGGAGTACCAGCTTCGCTCTGTAGCCGAAGAAGCTGGATTCGACCCGGGGTATCCGGGACGAATCTGGACAAACGATACATCATCCACGCATGAATCCATCAAAGTCCCTCTCCAGGGTCAGATCACCATTCGCACAGATGTCATTGGAGGGACCAGAGTCTGGGTGGATGGGAAGTTTGTCGGGAGATTCGAAGTCTTCGTCTTTGGCGGGAGGAACCAGTTGTTTTCATGGAGCCAGATGGCTTTTGTGGCACCACTGGAATGGATCCAAGGTGGATTACAGCGACTGAGGGTTGGTGAATACGATGGCAGTCATAGTCTACAGAGTAATTAACGAGCATTATGATGCGGTATCTATTCACCGTATGCTTAATGGAGAACCTGGGCCTTGACCCTCAAACCCGCGTGAAATACAAGTCTAATCCTTGTCTTCCAAATTGTCAGGCAAGGGAGCCGCCTACATATACCTGCGTAGGCCTTCGAAGAAAAAGGTTACGAGTATGAATGTACAATGCGAAGGTGAGTAGACGTTCCTAGGAATGAGAGTGCGAGGTTTGATTATCATGAGTAAACCAACCATGTTCCTCTACAGAGTAAAGGCATTGTTGGTTGGGGTTGACAAATTCAGTAACCTCATAGCGGTCCATTGCAAACACAGTATAACACTCTATAAATAGGCCCAATAGGCCAAGTCTATGACTACTCGGTTCATCTTCTTGCTGTAATGGTGGGACGTGTGGCACATATTATAGATCGGATTACCGGTTGTATAGTGAGGAGAGCTCGCCTATCGATGATAGATTTCCTAGTTTTATAGATATAAATGGGGAGCCCATTATCAGGTAACTCGCCTGGCTGCATATCCGAGTTGAAGTAGCAGAATAATAACATTTTTAGACGCTTGAGAGTCATGAGGATATATAGTAAACCTCTCTATAGCGGGGAAAAAGCAATGTCGAAGTAATTTTCCGCCAGACTAACAAGGAATCTCCCATTATGATTTATGAGTACGCCTCGGACTATACAATCCTATTTATCCACGTATTTATCCAGGCCGGTCCACCATCCCCGCATCTCCGCAAAGAACCCCAGAGATCATTCGTCACGGAAGATATCTTTTCTTCAATAATTCTTGACTATGACTGGCTCCTCTCTGCCGGACGAACGGGAGAATCCCTGTTTTCTTTCAGCAATGTTTATAAGCAGCCAATGTTCCCCGCAGCCCGAGATGCAAGGAAGCAAAAGCTGCGCTGAAATTCATCATGCATCAATCGCGATTGTTTCTAGGGCTTATTCTTGCAATCGAAGCAGCTTCTGCTCATCCTCGATCATGGGGACCAAGGAAGTTTACCAGTCTTGTTTCCTTTGGCGATAGCTATACCGACCAATCACGGTTGAACTACTTTGGCTCCCATAACGGGTCAGCTCCCCCAGTTGGCTGGGAGCAGCCAGACGTAGGTCCTCATCTGCTAATGAATGAGCTTCGCTGAAAAGCATAGAACAACAACACCGCATCTGGTGGCTATGTCTGGGGCCACTATGTCTCGCAATACGCCGATGTAAACCTGTACAACTACGCCGTCAGCGGCGCCGTTTGTTCCAACCAGATCACCCCACGCACATTCTCCTACATCAACGCCCTTTTCCCTTCCGTTCTGGAATACGAGGTGCCCGCCTTCCTAGCTGACAGCAAGTATAAAGTCTCCGGAAAGAGGTTCCTTAACATCCCAGCCCAGGAAACGGTGTATTCGATCTGGATCGGCACCAACGACTTGGGCAACTACGCCTTTATCACTGACTCCCAGGTCAAGAATAAGACCATACCAGATTATACCAATTGTGTGTACTCCGTTCTTGACCAGGTCTATGCAAACGGCGGCAGATACTTCGTGCTCATGAACCTGGCGCCCCTGCAGTTGTCCCCCCTGTACGCGACGCCCGAGAACGGCGGCGTGGGGGCCAACCGCTACTGGCCCGACAAGCCGGATAATCTGACCTTGATCAGTTACCGGATGTGGGAGCAGGTTGCGACTGCGAACGATGTGTTCAAGTACCAGACGCCGTATGAGCTGCTGGTGGCCAGGAGGTATCCTGGGGCGCGGTTTGCGGTGATGGACATGTATGGATTGGTATGTTGCGTCTTGTCGTGGACATTGGCTTTGGATGACACTGACTTGGCAGCTCTCCGAGGTGTATTACAATCCCGCAGAATATTTCAACGGGAGCGCACCAGCGAATGTAACCGGTTTCAACAGTCACTGCAATCTTAGTGGAGGGGAGTGCACCCGGCTTCCCAGTCCCGATTCTTTCATGTGGTTTGATGAGTTGCATCCTTCGCAGCGAACGGACCAGATTATTGCCGAGGAGTTTGTCAAGGTCGTCAGGGGGGACAGTAAATGGGCTACCTACTGGTAATCCTGCATGTGAACTCGTAGTACTGCTATATCGAATATGCCTTGGATTAAGGAGATGTCTATGGCTTGATCAAAAGTATTGTACATTTGAAGTGGGCATAAATCCCCGTTCAGGGTTACATACTGGAGTTACCTCAAGCTCAAACTAAAGCTATGGCTGAAACACATGCTTCGCACTATCGGCATTTTCCGCAAGAATTAGCCCTATAGAGCCCCAAGCCACCTCCTGAATGTCATCTTGACAGCTGCGATCGTCCCTGGCTTCAATCGTCAGCAGTCCCCCGCAACAACAGCCGAACCGACCAATCAATGGACCAGAACAACCAACAGTTGCAATCTCCCCGGCCGTTAGGGAGGAATAAGGCGTCCTCCGACTCTGCCTTACTCACGAACACTTCTACTCGACAATCGCGTTACTCTAAAACTTCTAGTTAACAATACACTTAGAAGAATGGCCATGCCCGGCCGCTCGACTGACATGGCCTCACCCGGATTCCACCATGTCCAATGCCCTCCCCGAAGTCCAACCACCGCCTTATCCTATAGCCATCCGACCCGAAAGCATCACCCAGCATGAAGTGATAGTGACCGTGACCAACCGCCCGGAACCATGGCACTCGCTCGACTACTCCATCGAACACGCCGGAACCGAGCTCTTCACCGTCCGCGGCCAGCCCTGGAAGATCAGCCAGGCACGCATGTTCCACGACCGCTCCGGACTCCCCCTGTTCGAGCTCCGATGCCAATGGTACGACTCCTCGTCGCTGTGTCTCCGGCTTCCTGGCGGGGAGCAGTGTATACTCGAAGCAAAGCTGCGGGTTGCGATGAACGCGCCCAGGGCGGTTGTCACGTTCCAGAACGCTGCGCAACAGCCGAGGGCGATTGGACCGGCTGCGCAAGGCGAAGAGATTGTGTTGGAGGTGCATGCGCAGGACCTGTATAATATCCTCCAGGTGGTGGTTGTTCAGAACCGCAACGTGGCGTACATCTATCGGATAACGGATCGGAGTGTCCTCGCCGAGGGACAACGGCCACCGTTCCGCTTCAGGCCGAAGTGGACGGTTCGAGTTGCGGAGGGGGTGGATCTATCGCTGGTTAGTTGATCTGCAGTTCAGCCTGGACTTCGTCTCAATCTGACGGTCGTAGATAGCGGTTGTTGTGGTCATTGTTGGCCAACGAGCCGGATTGGATGTAGGGGACGGTTGATTGGCATATTGAAGGGGTGGCATATTCAGTCAAGACAGTCTGTACGTAGAGTCGTCAGCTGTTACTTCGATAATACTCGGGTAGAATGTTGAATATCTGATTGTTAGATGTCAAACGGGGTCCTGGGGTAGACGCCATACAAGTAAGAAGGCTCACTTCATACGCGGAACATCAGGAGTAAATAACAATTACTGTATTTAAGAGCAATTCCAAACATAATTGATCGTACGTCAATTCAGATCGAGAAGAGTTGTCGATTGGCGATGCTTGCTCCCTCTGGCGGATATGCAACCCATCGGAACAGTGGGCCCGTAGCATTCAATTGGCTCTTTTACAAATAATAATGAGCGGAGAGCTACGGCTCGCAGAACTAGGTAGATAGTCCATTTATTCTGCTCTTGGAGAGGTCATTAGCTTCACCTGCATGGCTGATTACGGCATGCATGCCAGCCAATGAGCAATTATTCTCAAGGGCTAGCTAGATAGGTTGGGCGAAGAAGTGTGGACATGAAGAAAAAAGGGGCCCTTTCCCGTTTCGGACGCCGACTCTTTCGGAAACTGAGTGCTATCGCCGGTTTAAATGCCACCTTTCCCCTTCTCTTAGAAGTGTTACCTATTGTACTCTAGGATTTGTTTTCCCTGTGATATAAGTTGATATTCACAATGCGGACATCTCGACTAGAGTTGGTCCGCTTGACAGAAGACCATTTGCTTGGTTACTTCTCAATGTGGAAGGACCCAGAGGCTACGAAATGGAGCAGCCATGGCCCCTGCAATACCTTAGAGGCTGCTAAAGAATGGATGGCTGAGCTCTTGCCTGAACTCAATCCGACCGGCGAGAACTACGCTGTGTTACTCCGTCAAGATTTGGATTCCGATGTCATGGAGTCTCTGAAGCAGAAGAGAGAGCACTCGCGGCTCTCTAGCGGCTACATAACTCCTGGAGTGTTCCTGGGGTGGATTGGGACCTGGAAATCCGACCCAGTGCCTGAACTTGGGTTCGTCTTTCATCGCGATACATGGGGTCTGGGATTTGCCACCGAAGCCTTAACGGCATTTCAAGAAGTGTTCTGGCAGGCCCGGCCTCAGTTCGATGTTCTCGAGGCCTGGTGCGACACGGAAAATAAAGCTTCGGCCAGTGTTCTCAGAAAGTGTGGATTTGATTCTGTCGAGGTTGCCTACGGGGACTACCAGCTTCCGTGGATGACTCCTCCTTTACGGAATAGCGAGCGGTTTCGACTATTGAGACCTACTGCTTGATATTCAACTGTAGAGTGCATACTCTACAAGACTTTGCCAAGTGCTAAATGACTATTCGAATTTACTAAGACTAAATGTGGCCTTCCTACTGTTATAATGGTGATCCATCCGATACTACCCGGCGTGAGCAGGAGGCAGTGAGCATAACGGATCGATCAGGAAATGCCAAATTCTTGTTTGTTGATGGAAAGTACTACCTTTTCACTACCCCTGCTCACGACCCGTAAACGCACGATATGCCCGTTTATGCTGCTCCAGCAAGACCAAAGTGGACATCATCTGCGGCCCCAGCCTCGCAAAACTCGGCGTCCATCCACGAAATAGCCACCGTGGACCCTTCATTCTCGTCAACTCTCCGATGACTTCAGACTGGAGCCCTCACTGGATGACCCCATGAATTGTGTCTTGATCACATCCATACGGCTAGCTAGTGTAATCGCTACGAGTCTCGCCAGCAACGAAGCCGACACATGCAGCACCGGATGGTCGCCATTTGACCCGGTGATGTTCACAGTATGTATCAGTACTTCTATTTGTACCGCGTGGGGTCGCATTCCCTCAGTAGCATCGCCGCCTAGGACATATTTCTGGAGACCGGGGGATATCGCCCTTTGTCCTGATTAGGTTTATAGCTCCTAGTAGCAGTATATCTAGCTAGTAACTATATAATCTAATAGCTTGAACTACTATAATCTTTAGATACTAGATTTTTAAGTTTCCTACCCTAACAGTTTATTCCTTCACTGAGGGCAGAAACTGGCGCTGACATAACTGTTATTGTCTAGTTCAGTATCACGCTTCCAATACGCCTACACCCTTCCATGCCTTGTTATGCTCGCTGAAATAGTGCTCCCAATTCTCCACGAACATTTGAAGCACAGTTGGACCCTCCGCTTCGGCTGCGTAGTGAAGCACTGTCATTCCATTATCCGACACCTTGAATATGTCTGCCCCTTTTTCGATGAGTAAACGTACCGCTCCCTTATTGCCTGTCTTGGCTGCAAGGTGCAATGGGGTCACTCCATCACTCGACTTGGCCGAGAGGAGATCTAGTCCAGAACTCTCCTCAATCAGTAGTTGGATCACTGCCTCGTTTCCGCCCTCAGCGGCGTAATGGAGTACGGTAAGTCCATCCTTTGTAGTGGAAGATATATCAACGCCCTTCCTTAGAAGTAACTCTACCATCCCTCTATTCCCTTTCTGGGCAGCAAGATGTAGTGGCGTAACTCCGTCATCTGTCTTTGCCAGAATTCCTATATCCTTTGCAATGAGCAACCACGCTGCTGCATTCTTGCCTTCCCGAATCGCAAGAGATAGGACTGTCTCCCCTTCTCCATCCTGTGTCGAGATGTCTATTCCCTGTTCTAGCAGGCGCGGAATGATTGTCTCGTTTCCCGCGATGGCTGCAAAATGTGCCACACTCACTCCATGATCATTCTTCGCGTAGATGTCTGGCATTTTCTCCAAGAGAAATTGTAACCGTGCTTTATCTCCCGTGGCAATAAATAGAGTTCCTATTGTACCTCGCTGGAACACATCCACTCCCATGTCGACAAATAGGCGTACTAGACTCGCACTCCCATTACATAGAGCAAGATCGAGCACGGTACCACCCATGTCGCCGCAGAAAAGGCTCCATGATTCTACCTCGGCAGATATATCCAATCCTCTTTCGATGAGAAGCCGAACAACTTCCTCATTTCCTCCCATGACCGCCGCATGTAACACTGTGGCGCCGTGTTCGTCCCGAGCCCAGATATCAGCTCCCTTCTCCATCAAAAGCTGGAAAACGGCCTCGTTCCCCCCCATCGCTGCGTAGTGAAGCAGATTCGCTCCAGAATCTTCGAGCAATGGGTCGCCTCCTTTCTCTATGAGCATCCGCATCGTCGACTCACTGCATCTCTCTGCCGCAGCACACATCGAATTTTTAATATCCCAATAGTCCAGTTGATCAGCCCAGGTTTCGAGGAAGTGCTGAAGTGTTGATTTGTTGGTGGTCAATCGTGCCCACTCCAGTATGTTCCCGCTGTCTTCCACGCCGTATTGTTTGAATAGTCGTATCATGGGGCCGTTTCCTGTGAACGCGGCGAATTTCAGTGCCGGGTTAATCCAATGATCTTCTCGTATATCGTAGTGTTCGTTTTCTTTCAGGCCAATCCGATAGAGAACCTCATTGTAGAAAAAAGGATAAGATGCTGATATATCTCCCCCGTTCTCCAGGATCAGCTCCACCACCGCTTCATTCCCTCCAAGCACGGCGAAATGCAAAGTTGGCTCCCCCAACTTCTCCCCTTTCTCGATTAGCAGCCTTACGACCGCCTCGTGTCCCCCCAGCGCAGCATAATCTAATACTGTAAATCCGACGTTATTCTTCGCCCCAATATCCGCGCCTTTCTCCATGAGTAGCTCTATCACAACCTTGGATTCTTCTCGGGTCACAGTTGGCCGCAGCGAAGGCCGATGATAGACCGGAAGCTCCTTCCAATTCTCCAGTAACAGCATAGTTACGTCCCGGATGCGATTTTGCACTGCCAATTGCAGTGCTGTCTCTGAGTTCGAATGCCGAATGTCTGGATTGATTGTCTCAAGCAACCGTTGGATAATAGAAACATATCCCCGCTTTAATGGTCCGGAGGGCGACGTCATTGATTCCCTTGGGCAAGCCTTTTCAAGAAGAGCTGCTACATGGCCGTGGCCCCCCTTCTTTGCCATATCCAGTGCTGTCAATCCCTGCGAATCCTCGGCGTTGGGATTGCCTCTTTCCATAAGGAGCTCGACGAGCGAGGTATATCCCTTCTCTGATGCAAGGTGCAACGCAGTTTTCCCAAAGTCGTCTGGGGTATCTGGTGTAGAACCTATGAGAAGCCTTGCTATGTCTTCGTGCTCGTTTTGAATTGCCAAGTGCAACGCCGTCTGTCCTGCTGAATCCTGCAAGCCCAGGGTAGCCTTTGGGAGCAGCGACTTGACAATTGAGACATGTCCATTTTCTGAAGCCATATGCAGCGCCGTTCGTCCAGTAATATCAGGGAGGTTTGGATCAAGTTTTTTGGTGAGGATATCGACTACATCCTTGCACCCATGCTGTGCTGCCAAGTGAAACGCAGTTTTGCCAACCAGATCTGCACAATTGAGGTCAAACTCTGCCAGCAAAACCGCTGTCTCGTTCTTCTTCTCGAGTATTGCTAGATGCAGTGCCGTCCGGCCCATGACGTCTTGGAGGTTTGGCGTGGATGTCTCTAGCAAAAGCCGCACAATCGTCGAGTATCCTCGTGCGGCTGCTAGATGCAGCGCCGCCTGCCCTACTGCGTCTTGTTGATCGCAATCAGTCCTGGGCATGAGCAGCTCCACAATAGCTTCATTCCCGTATTCTGCCGCCAGATGCAGAGGTGTCTTCCCTGCGGATTCCGCAAGCGACAAGTCGACTCTATCACTACTGAGGAGCTGCTTCACTGCCCCCTTGTGCCCATGTTGTGCGGCCAGGTGGAGAGCTGTCCGCTTCAACGAGTCCTGGGCGTTCACTTTGACGCCTGGCGTTCGGAGCAGCAATTCAACAACGGGTTCTGATCCCACAAACGCTGCCCGATGGAGCACCGTCTGCTCGTCGGCGCACCGGGAGTTTACTTCCACTCCTTGCTCAAGTAGCTGCCTGAGTATCCTTTCATTGCCACGCTCCGCCGCAAGGTGAATTGCCTTCTGACCAAGCCGGTCCCCCAAGTTCAGGTCAGATTTTTCGACGAGACTCCGGACGACCTCGTCGTGGTTTCCCCATGTCGCATAGTGCAGCGCGGTCCAGGTGGTAATCTTGTCTGAGAAGTTAGGGTCGACTTCAGTGCCTAGTAGTCGCTCTACCTCCAAGGCGTCACCAGATGCAGCGGAAGAGATCAACTGCTCACCTAGGTCCGAATCTGATGAATGATGAATCGGTATATTGGAGGTGGAACGTGTTCTAACGGACTTTGATTCTGCATTGTCATCGGCTACACCGATGACTACCTCTTTTGGAGTCAGGAGCTCATCAGGATGACTCATTTCTTGTCTTTGTAGAGGGGGATGAAAGTAGACGGAGCCGATGAATCGTCCACACTCGCACTCTGAATCCTTGGTCTTATTGACGACCTCCACGAGCACGGCCCTGCTAATAGCCTCACAATCAACCTCAGCTAGAAGGCAATGCGTCTCGGGTCGCTGGAGCGCAGCTTGCAGGCGCACTTCTGCCAGAGGATGTGTGCCCTTCCAGTTATATCTCCCCCTGGAAATCCAGTCCGGGCGACCTAGTACCCTCCACTGGCCCACGACTGCCCCATCCTCTGTAACTCTCAGAGAGGTCAGTCCTGAAGACGGTGCGAGGTCAACCAAACTGGTAGGACACCAAGTAAATCCACCTTTAGACATGGTCGCGGAATTGTGGAAGAGATGTTCGGGGGAGATTTTCCCAACTCTCTTCAGGATGCGCTGATAGATGTCTTGCTGTGTTGTATCGTGGGGTATGTTAATGCCAACTAAAAGCCCGGCTATGGTCGCTATATCTCGAGGCCACGACGTATATCGAGAGCCGAGCACGGTCAACAGGTCGTCAACGGCACTGATTCTCGTGGCCCTGAGATTCGCTATCGGTCGTGCTATGATATCATCGGGCACTTTTGCCAGAATATCGTCGTCAAGGTCTTTTATGGCTGGGCCATAAGCGCCTTTGAATATCACTTTCACTCGACGAGACCGGGCCAGTTCCAGAGCCGTCCAGCCCCGGCTAAACCAGGGAGACATGATAATCGCAAAGCAAGCAAGTCTCGCATTCTTGCTATTGTCATCATCATCGATCCATTCCCACTCCCGCAGGAAACAATCGTGGACGAGAGTAACGCGAGCATCCTCATAATTCTGCTGCATCCGATTTATCGCAACGGTGCGAGCGGCCTTTGATCGCGGAATGCACACCGTATCCCACCAAATCCCTTCACACTGGAACTGCTCTGCAATGCGTCGAAAGAAGCTATGGAGGC